AAGAGACAGAGAAAGGAAACTTTCAGAGAAGTAGCAAGACTTGAGCTAAGCTTTAAGGTATGGGTGCAATTCACATAAACAGGGAGGTAGGGAGCAGTCCAGATTGTAACAACAAAAGGTGGTAAGTGGGGATAAGCAGAATGTGTGTGATACACAGTTCAGAGTTTGGAAATCAAAAAGTAAGGAGTAGAGAAGAGGAGCAGGGAGCTCTAGCAGTGTCGTAGTTAAGGCATTGGGCTGCTAACCAAAAGGCTGGAAGTTCAAATCCACAATCTGCTCTGTGGGAGAATGACGAGGCAGTCTGGTTCCATAAAAATTTACAGCTTTGGCAACCCTATGGGGGTTGCTAGGAGTTGGAATCAACTTGACAGCAGTGGGTTTGGTAGAAGAGGGCAGTCTGTATTTCAAGCTCTTTTCTTATACCCACAATATACCTGTGAGGTATGACATCCTCCCATTATTAACTGTAGCAGTGGACAGCAGTAAAGATTTTCACAGTTGAGAGTCATGACACTAAAATTGCTTTAGGAAGAAAGGCAAGAAGAGAATGGAGTAAGCATTTTTAATCTGAGTTAAAAATTTTACATGTTAGGTGATAAAGGTGGCAGCAGTGAGAATGGAAAACGCTGACAGAAACAGGAAAGTCTAAAAATGAAGCCAGTATTTCTCAACAAGATGAGACTCATTTTGTTGTTGTTGTTGTTATTTGCTGTCGAGTCGCCCCCGACTCATAGCGACCCCTCCTTGGGTTTCCGAGGCAGTATCACTACGGAAGTAGGATTGCCCAACCTTCCTTCCGAGGAGTGGCTGGTGGGTTTGAACTGCCAGCCTTCTGGTTAGCAGTCAAGTGCCTTAGGCACTATGCTAACAGAGACTCATTTTAGATATACTGAATTTGAAATGATAAACACCAAAATGACCAACTGGAGATAGGGATTAGAGTTCAGGAGAGTTTGGAAAAAAAAAAAACACCCAAAAGGAGAGTTGAGGACTTGAGAAATATTTGGGTGTCCTCAGTATATGGATCAAAGGAGACATGGAGAAGGAAGAAAAGTACAAAGAACAGACAGAAAGAATGAAAGAAAAAGGGTCAGTTGGTCTCTGGTAAAGGCAACAGAAACAAAAAGTAAGACAGGCAGGAAGATGATCTAGGGAGAGCACGAGCCAAGAAAGTAGTAACCAATCCAGGAAGAAAGAGAAATGGATTTGGTCTTAAGATTATTGCTAGCTTTGGAGAGAAAATTCAAAGCACACTGGTCTGGGTAAAAGCAGACTGAACAGGGTTAAAGAAAAGATGATACGGAATGAAGTGGCCATATAAAACAACAAAGTAGAAAGAAAAAAGCAGCCACAACAAAGCCCAAAAACCAAACCCGCTGCCGCTGAGACGATTCTGACTCAAAACGACCCTATAGGACAGAGCAGAAATGCCACATCTTTCTCCCAGGGAGCTGCTGGTGGATTTGAATTGCTGACGGTTCGCAACCAAGACCTTAACCATTGCACTACCAGGACCCTCCAAAGTTACAGCAGTAGCCCAGTAAAAGGGGATTTTCAAATTAGGAGTCTATCCAGAGGGTATTTTGGAAGAGAGCCTGGTGATCTACTTCTGAAAAATCCGCCACTGAAAACCCTATGGAGCACACACATGGATGGGGTTGTCATGAGGCGGATGTGACTCCATGGCAGCTGTGGAGTCCCTTGGTGGAGTTAACATGCTCTGGTACTAACTGAAAGGTTGGTGGTTTGAGTACATCCACAGGTGCCTTAGAAAAAGATTTCTTTCTGAAAAACAAGCTATTTGAAAAGCCTATGGAGCACAGTTCTACTTTGACACACAGTGTCTTCATGAGTCAGATTCACCTTGACAGCAACTGGTTTAACTGACTTATGTGCAGATAATCCTATGTGAAGACAGAAGTCAGAGAAGAGTGAACCTGAAGATGAAGGGAGGGCAGTAAAGAGATGACTACAGAGTACAGAATGGTAACATTAATCTGAACATTTACTGAACACTTATCATGTATCTGCACTCCTATATCATACTTGAGGTACTTTAGCTGTGTTGTCTCATTTTATTCTTACAGTAATTCTAAGTGTTATTATCCAACATTACAGAAGAGAAAACTGAAGTAGAGTGTTCAGTTACTTAAAATCACAAACCTAGAAAGTGGCAGAGCCAGGAAATGAATTCAAGTTTGTCTGACCTAAGCTCTTGCTATAAATGTCTATGTAAAATGAATAAAGCATATAAATAAGGGTCAATCTCTAAATATCTGTTGACTGCTCAGGAGAAAATTTTTAATAAGATTGTACATAGGCAATTTAAGATAGGAAAACTTAAAGGAAAGAAGCTAAAACAAAACCCACTAACATTTCAGGAAGAATGGTCTTTTACAGCTTTTTTTCCTTTGGGACTGGATCACTGTGGACCTAATTTCTCCATAGAACTTGATGAATTAACTGTAAAGAGTTATAGTAATATCACATAAAATAAAATTTGAAGTCAATGGTTGGTTTGGCCTTCAGGGAAACATCTTAATCTGAAACTTTTCAAGATGGTAGTTCACAGGAATATAAATGGGAAAAAACTTAGAAATCAAGTATGTAGTAAGTTTTCTAATGTAACTGCCCTGTAGAGATTATATAAATGCACAACTACAAAAATAAGAATAAAAAACTCAGTCGTTTGGAGCTCTGGTCACATTTAAAGAGGCTTTGAATGTTTGGTGGTTTGCTTAAGATATAAGATCATATAATCATTATCTGTGATTTTTAATATAGAGAAAAGCAAGAACATTCAGTTATGTTTGGATGAAGCAGACAATTATTGAGATGTCAAATTCCCTTACTTCTCTTCTCCTCTGATATTTTCATTTTGGCATTTCTCATTAGTACTTCCAGTAGAAGGTGGGGTCAGAAAGAAAAGGTGAAGTAAAAATCCCTTGATTCTACTATTTATTAATAGCTCTAGTGAACTGCCCTTTACCAAAGAAATTAGAAAAGGAGTAGCAGGAGCTAGGATTACTTACAGATTTCAATTATCTATGTTACTCCTAGTCCGTGCCTCATTACTAATGGGTAAATCAGCATTAACACAATAGGATGTTATAAATAACGAAACGTACTTACTAACAGCTCTGATAAATTGTCACTAAAATAGTTTAACTTTCTTTTAGATGTCAATGATCTATCTATGTGTAGTGGCACGTTACTTACCATGAATAATGCAGAGATATCTTCATTGGAGTGGAGTAAGTAATGGATATATTAACCCAAAGCTTTAATTAATCCAGTGCTCTTTTTCTATAAATGTATGCTCAATTATTATTTGGTCTGTACTAATCATGCTCCCAGGTCCCTTACACTTATAGCATTCAACAATTCGGAATTTCTGTGTTAATCATACCTTTTGAATTTAGCAAAGTTTAAGTTTAAACATACACCTCACTATCAGCACTAAGTAAAGAAGGGCAAACAAATCATAAGGAAATTATGACTGAAAACAAAACTTCTATAATTATAAGAAATCAAATTTTCAAGGACAGCTCATTTAGCCTTAAGGGAACAATGCAGATTTGAGTGTTCTTCCAAACTGGCTAGTTAAATTCACATTCTCAAGAGATGTGGAAGAACAAAAACAAACAGGTAGATGTATTCAAATAACAAAATATTGGTCTATCACAGGAACTGATGTACTTGGAAATAGTAGCTGGCTAAAATTAGAAGATGTTCAAGATTATATCAGCAACTGTATCTGTTTCTTCAGTTTGAGAAGAAAACTTGTAGATTATTTCACCTCAAGCAGTAACTGCTTACAAGTACAAATCTTTTGTATTTTTTAAGAAGCTCAAAAATTACACAAAAATAATGTGATTGAAATAGCCCTCCACTTGCCCTCATCTCATTGCCTCAAAGAGGTATATATACTAATGACTCTTGACTTTACTTCACTTTTAGGAAAATTCCAGTAAATGTAATAAATGCAGTCAGCCCATCAGAGAATCAACTTCCCACAGGGAATCTCTCTGGGTTCTTCCTCAACCTCACAGTAAATCACTCTCTCTTCTCTAGCATTGTCAAATTAACAATTTCTAATAAATGTCCTATATCAAAACAAAATAATGGCTCTTAACAATTTAGAGCTTTCACCTTTAAAAACTATTAGGACAAGCAAGAAAATGCAACATAAAAATAATATGTTAAGAAATGCCCACCCATGAGCTCTTACTGACAACTGCCACCAGTGTTTCTGCATCTAACCTTCTGGATGTGGTAGTGCAGCATTCAGGAAATGGTACCCCAAGAGCACAGCCACATGTACTGTTTACTGCTCTAAATGCAACACTGATTAATTTTCTGTATTTTTAATGTTTGAAATGTACCTTTTGTACTATTTCCTGAAAAGAATCAGGCTTCATTGTCTTTTCTATTTGTGAAATGAAGTTACTTAACACAGTACTTAGTGAAAACGAATTAAATCTCTTCATACCAAAGTTTAATACATCCTGGCTACTAAGTAACTTATAAAATGCTATTTTAAATTATCATGCTACCTATTTCACTCCACCAGTATTATGAGAAACAATCCTTAAAATACTAGGTCTCCCAGCTAACAATTTTAGCAATTTTCATGAAAAAGCAATTTTCTTTCCTATGATGATGTTTTCATTTAATTTTACTGGTATAATTATATTCACATTGTAAGTCATTCACACCTACCACCTTTAGTGATATATGCAGGCAAACATTATTTTAAAAATACTTTTTAAACTAAGAATCTGTGCTGAAAAGATACTGCTTTCTCATTGCAATGTAATCTTTGCAGGCCAGAATTCAAACCAAAACAATCGTTTTTCCGAAAGATAAATATTTATATAATTAGATATTCACTTGACCTATTCATAAATACCACACCTAGCAGACAATAAATGATCCTCTACATTTAAAATGAACACTCCTAAATCAGAAACGAATACTCAGTTTTACAGTTCACATACCTGAACCTCACTTGTCCTCTGTTTAATAGTATCTTCTTTCTCCTTAAGGTCCTGTTCCACATTATTCTTTTCCCTAGAAGACCAGCAAACAATGCAAGAATATTTGAGAACATCAGCTACAGCTGGTATGGTTATCCATCCTCCTAATCCTGAATCGCTTTTTAAATACATAGTGAAACATTCAATTTTCAAATGAAGGGCAGATTTTTCTACCCTATTTTAATTATTTATGTACTAGAAATCAATATAAGCTCTGTTTGTAAAAAAAAAAAAAAAAAAAATCGCTTTCTCACTAAAATGTGGTGAAAAGAGAATAGATTAAAAAAGGAAGAGGAGAAAAATAGTCAATGAAACACTTAGGTTTCACTGACCTCACTGTTGCTATAGAAATACTGTCCAATGAAAACTGCTGGTGAAAAAAGGAGGAGTTGCATCAGCCCTGTAAGCTTAACCCTTAAGTATCACAGTTGAATTAAATACAAATGGCTAATAGAAAAGTCAACAATATTAAGAAAAGGATATTTACTGAAGTGTTCATTTCCCCTTAAATCACTAGTGTATACCAATTTCAGAATGAAACAACATAAAGAAAATTGAAAAGGTTGTTAATACACAGTCCACAAGCATTATCAAATAGCACATTTGTTTCAATAATACAAAAAAACCAAAAATAATTAAAAAAAGCTATTTTAGGAGAACCCAATTGAAAAAAATTTATATTAAGAAGAAAAGGAATCACATTAGCATTTTTATCTCTTTCTACTCTTTGAATCAAACATACATACTAGGCACCACTTTACATCAAAACATCATTCTAAATTCTGACATGGTTCAATCAGAGCTGGGTTCCTAATGAATGAATCTCAAGCAACCTTAGATTCAGAATTACAAAATAAAGCTATTTCTTTGGATATAACATGTTTAACTGCTTACTTGTACTGAAATTCTATATATCCCTTTACTTCCTATTCTACAAAATGAGAGAAAAAGCCATAAGCATGTTTGTATATGAAACAGAGCTTTACCCCAGATCCAAAACTCTACAGCAATACATTTTTGGGGTAGGGAAAAGGCAATGTGAATAGGGAAGAACAGCATTTAAGAAGTCTTCCAGTACTGCCGAGTTTCTCCTCAGAGCTTCATGATTATTATTTCAGTTTCCATCTTAGACACAACACAAATGTAAGCCTAGGCTCCATTAAGCTCTAGCTTAAAAGGAAAGTGAGAACATTATACCAAAAGAGATACTTAAGGGACAACTGCCTACTACATTTATACTACTCACCTTTTTGAGGTAAGATTTTAAATGTAGAAAAAAAAAATCAACTGTTTTGGAAAAACATGAGTAGAGTTATTTGAACACTGTTATTTTAAACACCTGAGATAGGCAAGGTGCTCACTAACCATCTGCCAGATGGCTTCATAATGTGGGTCACAATGTTACAGAGATTTAAAAAAGTCCCTTACCATGTGAATCATTGTTGCAACTCGTTCCTTCCATATCTCAATCTACTTATTATGCAAAGGTCAACCCCCACTTCTAACCCTTATCAAATTAAGTACAAATTAAAAAATCGGGGGGGGGGGGGAAGCACACAAGAAACAAAAATCTGAAAATATTCCACAAATTCTATGAGCATAATCTTGGAAATTTTTTCTTTCCTCCTTATGTGAGCAGATGAGTGTTTTCAGTCCTGCTGCAGCATGTCTAAGGTAAATCACATGAAAAAGTAGCCCCCAATCCCAGATCATCAGAAGAAATCAACATAAGGTCAATATCAATTCAGCTCCTAATTTCCAACAGGAGATAATAACAATAGAAAACATTACATGGTATGATAGATCAGCACTGCACACACAGATGTGCAAGTTTGTATTCAGTCCTTTCTGCTCCGCTATTAACTATTGCTACTGACAGTGTCTGCTCAGAATCAGATATGCATGTAGAAAAACAAGGCTGCATGAAGGCAGTGAGCTGACTTAAATTAGGTAAAACAGAAGAAAAAGGAAAACAGATTACAGAGCACTCTCAACTCTAATCAGCAATGTTTGGGTAAAATGGAGGAAGCTGAGAAAGTATAAATCTCTCTTGGTGCCTTTAATGCATATTTGAGGGGTATGTGTATGTCAAGGGAGATGGTGGTAATGACTTCAAACATATCCTGAAGATCATTCCAAACAATTAAATAACATATGGAAGCCTTCAGGCTTAATTCCTCTTAGTATTGAGATTAAATTTAACTTTCAATCACATTTAAAATTTTGATCTAACAATAATTCCTTTCATTATCCAAACCAAGTACTTAACATACACTGTAAACAGAATACTTCCAAAAATAATAAAATGCTGTTATATCATTTTCTACAAAGGACATAACAAATTCTAGTCTAAAATCAGACTGAAGATCAAATCATTTTCACACTGACTAGATTACAACTTCAGAGATGCCAAATTGCTATCTGTCATCTGCCAATGCCCGTAACCTCTACAGATATCCTTTGAATTTAAGTAAAAACATCTACACATATTCAGGTATGCCTGACCAAATTTCTTACGTCCCCCTCCCCTTCAAGTAATAATGTAGTATTCTAAAGGTAACGAGTACATAACTAATACAAAGCATTGTTAAACATTAGTAATTTAGAAAATCTTTTCAAGGCTTCTGTGCCACAATAAAGAGGACTATTTCTCTGCAGCTTCTCAAGGAGGTTGCCATCATATGTGGATAAGGCTGGCATAAGATATATTTTGTATGTGAGCATTTTTCCCAAAGCCCCACCCATCTTAAATGTCAGGATAGGAAAAACTATTGCCTTCACCTTAGTAATTTCCAGAAAAATAAAAAGAAATGACCCTACATATTCTCTATCTTAGATCATCTCTTTGCCCCTATTTACTCCCAAAATATTTACATATCCTGAGGAATCTACAACTATCAAAGGTATAAAGAGAAGCCATGTTCTCTGATTTTCCTAAGACTGACAGTTCTGACTCCGCAGAAAGTAGTCTGACCTACCAAGGAAAGCAAAGCCCAAACTAGGCTTTCAAAAGGCTAAAGCTGACAACTGCATAAACCTAATGTGAAGTAGTCAAAATCTATTCAAAAGGATAGTCAAGCTCAGGGATCTTGAGCCTATGCAATTCACTTCCATTTTTCCAGGTACTATTTATGGGGAGAAGAGAGTGCACCATCTGTCTTAATTTTATTTTATCCAGATATTATTATAGAGACAAGATTAAATCACCTTCAAAGTTTTTCCCAGATACTGTTTTTTTCTTTCTGAGCATAAGCATCCATTATTTTCCACCAGAAAATAAAAACTAGAAACCAGTTAGAAACTAACTGTTGTTATGTGCTGCTGAGTCCATTCAGACAAATAGCAACCCTAAACGACAGATTAGAACTGCCCCCATGGGGCTTCCTAAACTGTAATCTTTATGGGACCAGACTGCCAGGTCTTTTCTTCTGCAGAACAGCTGGTAGGTGCTAACAGCTGACTTTTTCAGTTAGCAGCATTTAACTAGGAACTGTGAAAACTCACCAAGTTTTATTCTTTAATCTTAAAACTTATTTATAAAACTCCTTTTGAGGCACAGTTAACCCTAAAGATGTTTCTATTATTAACTGCCAATTTATCTTACAAACAAACAGAACAGCATGCTATTCTCATTATATTGTCTTCAGTAAGGCATCTATCTGGGTCTTAAGGAGAGTGAGAAACTAAAAACTAGAAATGTAGATTTTAATCTGGCTCTGACACAATACAGTTTTTGACTCTGATTAGGCTACTTAACTTTCCAAAAACTCAGTCTTATTTTTCAAATGCAGATGATATTATCTTTATTTGTGAGGCAAAGTGTGTAAGATTTCATAGCATTAGGACAAAAGCCAGCTCTGACCCAATGCTTTGGTTGCTTTTTACTTACAATATTGACTTCCCCTAATTTTAAGTAACATAAATGGAGTAATGTTTAAATTTGTTAACAAGGAGTTAAAGGTTTTAAAAAGGTTAGAAAACACTGATTCAATACACACTTGTGAAAATACATAATTACTAAAATCTCCCAAAACCTTCTCTAAGTGTTATTCAAAGTAATCTAACTACTCTCTGCGTTTAGAAACTCATTATATGGTTTTCAAACCAAAGAATTTAGAGCAAAAGGTCAAGATTCAAATACCGGCTCCACCTCATATAATTTTGGTTAAATCATTATGGCAACAACTATTCATTCTGGTGGTCCTAGGACTCAACAATGTCTTCTTTTAGGAGACTGATTCTCTGTTCACCTACTCATATAGTTCAAAAAGAACATGTTATCTTTTCACCGATTCTACCTCACTAGGTAAGGGATTGGCTCCTGACTAAAGTTCAATCAATCAAAGCACCTCATCTCACAAGCACTCTGATTAAATAAAGAATGGGCCCATGAAGGAATAGAAGCTGAAGAGATAAGGACCTTTCCCCAGAGCCAAGAGAGAGAAAAGCATTCCCCTAGAGCTGATTTCAGTCTTCTAGCCTTCTAAAGTGTGAGAAAATACATTTGTTTGTTAAGGCCAAAAAAAAAAAAAAAAAGAGAGAGAGAAAAGAATGGGCCCACGACCAAAGTCAAATCAGTCAAAATCTTTATCTGCTGTGTTGTTCTCAGATGCCCTCGAATAGGCTCTGACTCATAGCGATCCTATGTACAACAGAACAAAGCAATAAAACAATGCCCGGTCATACACCATCCTCCCAATCCTTGCTATACTTGAGCGCATCATTGTAGCCACTGTGTCAGTCCATCTTGTTGAGGGTCTCCCCGTTTTCTGCTGATACTCCACTTTACCAAGCATGATCATCCTTCTCCAGGGAATGGTCCCTTCTGACAATATGACCAAATAGATGAGACAATGTCTGGCTGTTCTCACTTCCAAGGAGCATTATGGCTGTACTTCTCTTCCAGGACAGATTTGTTCATTTTTCTGGCAGTCCATGGTACTTTCAGTATTTTTTGCTAATACCACAATTCAAAATAATCAACTCTTCTTCAGTCTGCCTTATTCACTGTCCAAGTTTCATATCCATATGAGGCTACTGAAAACACTATGGCTTGGGTTAGGTGCACCTCAGTCTTCAAAGAGACATCCTTGCTCTCCAACCCTTTCAAGAGGTCTTTTGCAGCAGATATG